ACTGAGTGGTGAGTGGCCATTTGCACAGAGAAATTGAGCATGAACAGGTGCAGGTGATGAATGCCTCCACACCTGGCCTCAATAGGACATTTTCATGAAGCAAGCCTGGGTTTGTAGTCTTTCTCAGCAGAGAGGTGGTGGTGGGGACAGGGGGAGGGGCTCGGAGGGGGGGGGAGAACAACTGGAAGAACCACTTGTGTGACATTCCATGTATGTGTTTTTTGTTTTTATTTTTGTCAATCGTGGGGCTTGAACTCTGGGCTTGGGCACGGTCCCTTCACTCTTCAGCTCATGGCAAGCACTCTACCACTTGAGCCACAGCGCCACTTCCAGTTTTCTAGTGGTTTATTGGAGATAAAAGTTGCACAGACAGTGGCGCTGTAGCTCAAGTGGTAGAGCGCTCGCCTTGAGCTGAAGAGCTGAGGGACAGCACTCAGGACCAGAGTTCAAGCCCCACGACTGACCAAAAAAAAAAGTTGCACAGACTTTTCTGCCTGGGCTGGCTTTGAACCATGATCCTCAGATCTCAGCCTCCTGAGTAGCTAGGATTACAGGTGTGAGCCATTGGCACCTGGCTTCTATGTATGCGTTTTGTGGATCAGCCCTTTATTTAGTGTCCTTCTGTTGAGAACATCCTTGCTCATAACTTCTATAGTTTGAGACAAGAAAAAACAAATCTTTTCTAGACTATGTGTGTGTATGGTGGGGGGTGGGGTGCATTTTCCAGTACTAGGGCTTTTGAACCTCAGGGCTGGGCACTGCTCCTTAGCCTTTTTGCTCAAGTTTAGAGCTCTATCACTTTGAGCACAGCACCACTTTGGGCTTAAATTTTTTTAAAATTATTGTTAAATAGTTGTACAAAGGAGGTGCCATATAACAAAGCAGTTTATGAATACAAATGCATCTTGATCACAATCATCCTCTTCAGCATTCTCACCCACTCCCTTCCCTGTCTTAATTTTGTACTATCTGCAATGAATTCTTAACTACAGTCTCTTCCCCTTTCCACCTTCATAAGTCTACTCTTCTCCCCTTGGCTCCACCCCCTTCTTGCCATGTACCTATTTCCTGGTGTTGATTTTGTTGGGCTTTGACCTAGTCTTTCTAAAAGATTATACTATTTGAGGACTCTACTATACTTCAGTGAATTCATTTGTAACCACTTGCATACCGCCCATTCTGTTTACTTATAGATTTATAGGAACATTCTATCTACCACAAATGAGGGAAACCATGCAACCATTGTTTCTCTGGGTCTGTCTGACTTATTTCACTTAAAACAATTTTTTTCTAAGTCTTTCCATTTCTTTTTGAATTGCACAATAGTATTCTTTCTAATAGATGAGAAAAAATCCATTATATATATGTAATATATATATATAACATTTCCTTGATCTATTCATCCATTGAGGGACATCTGGACTGATTCAGTATCTTAGTTATGGTAAATAGTGCTGCAATGAACATGGTTGTGCTGGTGGCTTTAGTGTGGCTTTGTATAGTGAGATTGCTGGGTCATCGGTTACCTCTGTGTTTAGTTTCTTGAGGAACCTCTATGCTGCTTTCCAGAGTGGCTAAACAAGCTTACATTCACAACAGTGTATGAGGGTTCCCTTTTGGCTGCATCCTTGCCAACATTTGTTGCTATTTGTCTTCTTGATTGTGGCCGCTCTATCTGGGGTGAGATGGAAAGCAATGGTTAGATGCCATAAAGTAGGTGCAATGCCTTAACCATATGCATATTGTCAGACTCAAGGGCCTCTTCCATCTTTGTCCAGGGGAATACTAACTTTTCTCCTTTCATAAGACACCCACTTCTGGCTTTTTGCTGATTAATTGGAGACAAGAGTCTCACAGATTTTCCTAGCTAAACTGGATTGGAACCACAATCTTCAGATATTAGCCTTTTAGGTAGCTAGGATTATAGGCATGAGTCATCAGCTCCTGGTTTCTCCTTTTTTTTCCTTCCCTACCTCTCTTCCTCCCCCCCCTTTTTTTTTTTGTTTTCCCAGTCATGGGGCTTGAACTCTGGGCCTGAGCGCTGTCCCTCAGCTCTTTAGCTCAAGGCTAGCACTCTACCACTTTAGCCACAGCGTCACTTCCAGTTTTCTGGTGTTTTATTGGAGATGAGGTTTACAGCCTTTCCTGCCAGGGCTGGCTTTGAACCATGATCCTCAGATCTCAGCCTCCTGAGTAGCTAGGATTACAGGCGTGAGCCACTAGTGCCCGGCTTCCTTCCCTCTCTCTGTCCCTCCCTCCCTCCCTCCCTCCCTTCCTTCCTTCCTTCCTTCCTTCCTTCCTTCCTTCCTTCCTTCCTTCCTTCCTTCTTTCTTTCTTTCTTTTCTTTTCTTTTCTTTCTTTCTTTCAGCTTGAATGTAGGATCTGAGTTCTGTCCCTGAGTTTTTGTGCTCAAGGTTAGTGCTGTATCACTTGGACTTTTTGGTAGTAAATTTCTGACTTTTTGATAGTAATTTTTTTTTTTTGTCTGTCATGGGTCTTGAACTCCAGACTTGGGCACTGTCCCTGTGCTCTTCAGCTCAAAGCGAGCACTCTACTGGTTGAGTAGAGCACCACAGCACCACTTCTGGTTTTTTAGTGGTTTATTGGAGATAAGAGTCTCACGGACTTCCCTGCCCAGGCTGGCTTTGAACTGTGATCCTCAGATCTCAGCCTCCTGCGTAGCTAGGATTACAGGCATGAGCCACTGGTGCTGGGTTTAGTCTAATCTTTAGTGACCTTCTGCTGTTGCTTCTCCATAGGACATTGTTTATGTACAACAGTAAAGACACACACACACACACACACACACACACACACACACATCCCGGTGGAAAGAAATGATCCAATGATTATAAGTTGTCCTCTGGGCTTTGTGATCATTTGGGCAATTTTGATGTGTTGCTCCTAGCCAGAATTTTGCCCTCAGGGTCATCCCGCGATGATGAGTGTTGGTTCCCTTGTGCTGGGCAGGTAACTATCAGTGTCTAATCATGCTAACACCCTTTTTCTCCCTTGCAGTCGGAGTACCACTACGAGTATACAGCGTGTGACAGCACAGGTTCCAGGTGGAGAGTCGCTGTGCCACACACCCCAGGCCTGTGTACCAGCCTCCCCGACCCTGTCAAGGGCACCGAGTGCTGTAAGCAGCCTTCCTGCCCCAGGGCTTCTCCCTGACACTCAGCATCAGCCTCTCTCCTAAGTCTCCTGCCATGCCAGCTATCTCTGCCTCATACAGCAGCTGCAATAGGAAGTCAGAGCTTTCTCCTTGTCTCCATCCCTAATTCTTTCAAAATTTGGTACAGAAATGTTTTTCATGGATGCAAACTGGGTGTCTGACTCTTCTCTTTCCTTCTCTCTCTGGCTTTTTCAAAATGCTAGTTCTGGGGCTTGAATTCAGGGGACTGAATTCAGGGTGCTACCCCTAAGCATTTATTTTGTCAGTTGTGGGATTTTAACTCAGGGCCTGGGTGCTATCCTTGAACTCTTGCACTCAAGGCTAGCACTTCTGGTTTTTCAGTGGTAAATTAGAGTTAAGTGTCTCAAGGGGACTTTTATGTATTTCCTGGGCTACCTTTGAACCATGATCCTCAGATCTCAGCCTCCTGAGTAGCTAGGATTACAGGCCTGAGCCACCAGCTCCTGGCTCCCTTAAGCTTTTTTATTCAAGGCTAATACTCTACCAGTTGAGCCACAGCTCTGCTTCTGTATTTTAGCTGTAACTAGAGATAAGAGTTTCATGGCTGGGAATGTGATCTAGTGGTAGAGTGCTTGCCTATTATGCAGGAAGCCCTGGGTTCAATTCCTCAGAACCACATAAACAGCAAAAGCCAGAAGTGGAAATGTGGCTTAAATGGTAGAGTGCTAGCCTTGAGCAAAAGAAGCTCAGGGACAGTGCACAGGCCCTGAGTTCAAACCCCAGAACTGGCAAAATAAATAACTAAAAAATCTCATGGACTTTCCTGCCCTGGCTAGCTTCAAACCATGATCTTCAGAGCTCAGCCTTCTAAGTAATTAGGATTACATGTGTGACACTAGTACCTGGCTTCTCTCTTCTTTTCTTTTCTCTCTCCTTCCTTCCTTCCTTCCTTCCTTCCTCCCTTCCTTCCTCCCTCCCTTCCTTCCTTCCTTTCTCTCTCTCTTTCTCTTTCTTTTATTTGCAAGTACAGGGGCTCAGGATCTCAAATTCTTGCTTGACTTTTTTACTCAAAGCTGGTGCTCTACCACTTGAGCCACACCTCCACTTCTTGCTTTTTTTGCTGGTTAATTAGATAGAAGAATCTTATAGCTTTATCTGCCTGGGCTGGCTTCAAACCAGAATCCTTAGATCTTAGCCTCCTGAGTAGGTTAACAGGCATGAGCCACCAGCTTCTGCTTCTTTTATTAAAAAAAAATTAAATCTTGTTCATGGAGAGAGTGTAAGCAATTCTAGCTGTATGAATATACACATTTATTTTCTTCTTTGCCTGTGAATTTTTCTGCAGTCTCTACTCAGCATTCACAATCAGCTATTAGGCAACATTGGGATGATTTTGTTCTTGGAAAGGAAATCAGAGAAGGTGAAAATTCTGCAGAGAAGCCTTTAAAATGCACTGTGTGTCACTCCCAGGGGCTGCCGATCTGACTGCAGTCAGGAAGGTGGCTCTAATTTATTTATTTATTTTTAAACAACAGCTTTGTTGAGACACAGTTTACATGCCAAAACTTTTACCCTTTACAGCGCAAATGTCAGTAGCTTTTAGATTATGCATGCAGCCATCAACACTGTATATTTCTGAACCTTTTAACTATCCAGGCCCTGCCCTCAGCCCCTGGCAACCACAAATCTACTTGCTACCCCAGGACTTTCTGAACATCCTTAAAATGTGCCAGGACCCCAGGTCCCCACCCCGACCTCTTCCCTGTAGAGTACCCTCAGCCCCATCACTTGTGACCTCTCCACCCCTCCCTTGTCCTTGTCCTGCTGTCTAGCCTTCTCTTGCAACGCCGGAGAGTTTCTGGATATGAAGGATCAGTCCTGCAAGCCGTGTGCTGAAGGCCGCTACTCCCTGGGCACCGGCATCCGGTTTGATGAATGGGATGAGCTGCCACATGGCTTTGCCAGCCTCTCAGCCAACATGGAGATGGATGACAGCGCCACTGAGTCTGCGGAGAATTGCACGTTGTGAGTCTGTGCGTGCGCACGCACACACACACACACACACACACACACACACACACACACCCTGGATAGTCCTCAGGCTGGCAGGGACCATGTGGGAAGGTGGATAGTAGCCAGTGCTCCATGGGACTACCAGTAGCGAGCAGGCAGTTGTAGGGGAGAAAATCATGGATTCGTAGAGTCCAGTGGATCTGAGTGAGGTACAAGCGTTAATGGTCTAGTCTATGAAAAGTACAACCCAATTGGAATTTTGCATCAGACAATAACCTTTCTCAACTTGAGTGGAACAAGATGTAGGATGTGACAGGTGTCTTCCTGGTTTGGGTGCTGAACTTTTAAAACTGGGAATCCTCACTCTGAGTTTATGTGCTTGGGCTGGGGGTGGCTGAGATCTTATAAACCCCTTCGGACTCTGGTGACCAGAAATATTTGCAGCACAGATGGAGATTTTTGCCAGTAATTGAAAAGCTCAGTCTTTTATAAAATGTGACATATAAAATATAAAAGGTGTCTTTTATATGTCGGGTGTCATTCTGGGTGCTTTACACATATTAATTTTTTTCAATCTGTACAGCAGCCTGATGAAATAGGTTAAGGGCCCTCATTGTAGCAATGGGAAACCAGGGGTTTTGTGAGATTAGCAATCTATCTTTGATAACTAGCTTACAACTGGCAAGGTTGGAATTCAAATTCAGTCCCAGTTGGGACTGTCATCTTCAAATAACATCTATCTATCTATCTATCTATCTATCTATCTATCTATCTATCTATCTATCTATCTATCTATCTATCTATCTATCTATCTATCTATCTA